TGCGATTCCGAATCATGTTGTAAGCAACGTACCAAGACCGACATTAAAGCCCACAGACTCGAGACCTGTGCTGCCTTGGACGTTTGGATCCGCGTATGCGGCGTATGAGTTGTAGAAAGGTTGGAGAGTTGCGGCAAAACCGAGCCAGAAGGCACCGAAAGAGCAGAAGACAACGAAGGGGAAGGTGTTCCCGAGAATCCACTGTGATGGCTGTTAGTGTTCGCTGTTACAAGTTTCAGGACAAACATACTTCACCGAGGCCTCCGAGGATCATGAGCAGACCACCGCAGAAGTAATACCACCCGATGCTTGCAGATCCACTTCCACCAGCGCCTCGCCATCCCATAAGAGTCATGCTCAATGGGTGTAGCGACAATAGGAAACCGATCAAAGCGCTGTGCAATGTTAGCGTCCACGAACCCGAAGTGTGTGATGAGAACTTACAGAGGTGTTGGGTTACCAAACGTCTTGCGCAGATCTCCCTTTACTTTGTTCGGAGGTGACAAGTACAGCTTCTCGAAAAGCTCTGGCGAGATGGAGATGCTACCTGCTGTTCGGATTTGATGCAGCGCGGTACCAGAGTCGGCCGAAGCATCGAGGTGTGCGTGTCCGCCGTATCCATTGCCGTAAGCTAGAGAGTGTCAGCCGGATTCGGAAGTACGCGTCGCAAAAGTGCCTTACCATCTTGCCGAGAAAAGTCCTTCTCCAAAGCGTTGGGGTTGTCCATCATTCGTGTCGTCGACTCGTTCCTCGCAGTTGATCCAGCTGATAGAGTCTCCGCGTCCCGAGCCGTAGTCGCACCGAGATGGGCGTCGTTTGTTGCGTACTTGTGGTCGTGGTTGGAAGTCATACAGGCGATGTGGTTATCGAAGAGACCGCTTCCGTTGGAGTTGGTATTAGAGGAAGATGTTTCGTGATGATGGCCAGTGGAGGAAGTGGTAGTAGCTGTGGAGGTCTCGTAACGTGACATAGGAGGCTAGAAGATGGAGGATAGGATTGATATAGGTGGGCAGACAATCTTCATTATGAGTGTAGGTAACGTAACGATGGTGCTCCGCAAACCTTGAGGCACGGATTCCAATTCCAAGAAAGCGTAGCCGCGGACGAAAGCAAGGGATCATCACCAAGTATGTGGCAGGTGCAGCCAGGCCACCCCGGTAGAACAAGAGTTTGAGGACCAACCGCTGCGGTTCCGCGTTGGACCTGATGCACGTAGTCGAATTGGCGGGAGGGCAGATCTGCCCAGACTAGAGCTCAAAGGGCGGCCAGGTCTTGATTCGCCGGAGTCATGAGGAGTTCATCCTTAGCTGCGGACGTGGCTTCCCTGGCGACGCATCCCCAGAAACAACAGTGGCGTTCCGCGCCGTCACATTGCACACCCCCAACGTTCTGCCTATAATACCGTCGGGGCTTATCCAAAAGTGCATGATAACGAGCGTCCGAATGAGCAATTGGAGATGGGAACTCCCATAAAGGACTCTACGATAAGCATGCTTCTTCGTGAAACACAATTGATCACACTCTTAGCCTCGCCGTATGGGCAAGACCTCGGCGACTCTAGTGCCCAAAACGGTCGCAATGCGAATGGTACGCATTGAACGTTGTAACGTGATCGTGATCCGACTCAGTGACAACCAGTAGGGGATCTGCAGCTGCAGGAAATAAGATCGGTTCTGCGGAGTCGAGTGGAGATGAAGCACGCGAAAGCTGGGGATGTGTGCGGAGCCTAGACTTTGGAGCTAAATGATCGTCGGGCCGTCACTGATTGGGGTTGACTTTGCGGGGAAAGCGTGCTAGGAACGCTAGATCCGGATGAGTGGTGCAGGCGTTATTTCCAAACGTCATGTCGCCCACGGCATCTCTGAAGCCGTGCATAAGAGTTCCTTTTGACGTCTTGCGAATGAGTCGCGACGGCGATATCGATTACTGATGGTGTGGTTCCAAAGTGCAATCGCGTACAACGTTGCAATTAAGGCAGTTGCAGATCTGTGTGACGAGAACGACCAACTGCTTCGACTCAGTCCAGAACATATGCAGTCCGGCCTCGTGCGGCGAAGCTGTTGTGGTTGCATGTGCATCTTATGATCGATATCTCAGTTCCGCAGTTGGTGTCAAACTGCAAGGGAGGGCCCAGAGCCAGCCCCCGCGTTCCACTACCGAGGTGTGCATGGTGGCTTGAGAATCTGGTGTGACTGGTATCGAGCGTAGGGCATTTGGCGAGTAGCTTGCGCTCATCCGACCACGTAACGGGAAGGCGGCGGATTGATTCCGCGAGTAAGCCCGCCTAACCCAATCCGGCCTACGATGGGGGAAGACTGGTGTTTTTTGAAACCAAGCCCCGGGAATAGGTAGACGCACAAACACTGGGCTCGTGGTTGGTGTGAACTGTGGCTGGCATATCGCATAAAGTATTCCGGGGGGTTGCGATGTTTCGTGCAGGCTCCAGTCGCACTCGAAATGAAAGCCTGGTTGACCGCACGTCGCACGACGATTCCCGCAATTCGTTCCGATTAACGCGCTCTTGCAACCTCTTAGTCGGTAATAGGCAAGTCTGCCAGGTGTCCAAAGGGCAGACCGCATCTTCCGTGGATCCGAGCCATCAGCATCCCAGTCAGACCGCGACCCAGGATCCTAGCGGCGTATGCCGTGACCCCTCTGATCCGAAGGGCTTCGGGCTTTTCGCGCTCACAGGGAACGACGCTCCCGGACCAGCACAAAGTTGTCCATAGAATCTGCATCGCCTTATCCACTGTGAAAGCATGCACTTGCTCTGGGGGACATCCTTTCACTGCGTACAAGCTATCGGCAACCGAAATCGGCAATCGAAGAACGTGACACGAGACTGCGGCCAAGAATCCTATGCGAAGTGTGGTGCATGCGGCGTTGAAGGTTCAAGTCGGTGGCCTTCGGAGGGTTTCGGTCTTCGGTGCTTTCCAGTGTTGGAGTGCCGAAAGCTGGTGGGAACGTACAAGGAGATACAGATCGTCGGTACATTCGGATGTTCGATGGCTCAAAGTCTCGTGGTCGTTCGCACCTTCTGCTCCTGGGGGCCCCGTACTTGTTCAGCATGGACAGGTGCGCGTCGCTCCTGCCTAGTGCCGAACGACTGTCATAAACTCGTTCGCCATGATCGCGAAATGTACCGATGATCGAGTCGAGCAGATTGCGTACAGGATGATTAGTTGGTTACTGTCTTTGCGAATGGACATGTATTCCGCGCCAGTCAACATGATGCAAGGTCAACAGAAGGGCTGACAGAAGAGGAAGGTGCATTGCACGTGCTCTCAGAGAAGATGAGATGGATCAGTTTGAGAGAAGGTACCAAGCCGGCACGTCATTCTCTTTATACCTGCGCATATGACGAGATGGATGGTGGTGATGAGAAGATAAGTAATCTCACCCGGCTGGTTTGTTCACCTTGTTCCCCCTTCCCCGACTCCGATCCCGCTGGATGATTAATGCGACAAAGAATGAGAGCTCCAACGGCCGTATGGTCATCCATAGCGACCTCAAGCTCCGCCGACTTCTTCGATAACCTTCTTGAGATTCTTAATGTCATGCGCGAAACGACCCAGGAATAAGCCATCGACGCCTTCGGCAATCTTCGCAAAGGTGCCAGGGCCAGCACTTCCTCCGTAGACGATTCTTGTGGTGCCCGCTCTGCCAGCAGCCAGCTTCCTAAGCTCTTTCGTAACATTGACAACATGGTCGGGGTCTGCGGGCTCCTTTGCGCCAATGGCCCAGACAGGCTCATAGGCCAGGATTACCTCAGTGTCGTCTGGGACCGCAGCCAGCACTGACATGACCTGGGGTTTGCACTCTTGTATAGCTGCACCGACAGCCGCTGATGCGACGCTGTGGTGCGTCTTCTCGCCAATGCACACGAGTGGTATGAGGCCGTTCCTCGCTGCTGCACCGGCCTTCTTCGCGACCGTCCCGTCTGTCTCACCGAATATGGCCCTTCGCTCCGCATGTCCAATCTCTACTATCCGCGCACCTGCCTGGCGCAGCACCAGTGGGCTGACCTCGCCGGTGTATGCGCCCCTGTCCTCCCACATGGTATCTTGGGCGCCCAGCATGATAGACGAGGACTCGAGGATGCGGGCAGATTCGGTGAGCGAGACGAAGTCGGGGATGACGAAGAGGTCGATGCGCGAGTTCCAGGCGTCGCCGTCAAGTTGCAGTACGCCGCGAACGTAGGACAGGGTGCTGGGCAGGTCGAAGTACATTTTCAGCGAAACGCCGACGATGCGGCGGGGGCGCGTAATGGGCGGCATAGCTGCGGTCTGTGTATGTGTCTATAGAAGAAGGGGAAGCTGCCAGTCGCTCTACAAGTAACAGAGACACCTCTTGCGCAACTATGATGATCCGGGGTTACCGCATAGGGTAAACCCGGGGAAGGGATAATTCGGCCACCAGCGGTGGAGGGGAGCTCGTGTGGGACGGGACACGTTTGTGGGGCTCCATGCCACATCCATTACCACATTCAATGCCACATTATAATATGCGCGCCTTGCGGCCTGCCCAAGCGCTCTCTGCATCTCCTGTGACGACGCGCGCCCACCGCATGCACATGTTACGTATAGCCACCGGATCGTCCAGTGGTGCCAGAGCAGCCATGGCAGACCGCCGAATATGGGCCACGCTTGGCAGGGCTGGAGGGCTCCGATTGTGCCTCCGTACTGCGCTAACCGCTTCAACGTCAACCTTCCGCTAAGGAAAACTGTACATCCCGAGGTCAACGCATCACTCACCTCTCGCCTACTGACCGACCGCAAGACAGCAGTGGTACATGTCGCGGACACTCGCAGATCGCTGGGCCCGCAAACGATACTTTGGATAGCTCGTCAACACCGCAGTACGCAGCATCCTTGCACATTTCCCGAATTCCACCGCGGGGTGCATATCTCTCATATACATTTCACTAACGTCGGGAGAATTGACGCAGACTCTACATTTTCCTCCCTCTTCTTTTTCTAGTTGTCCTACACCTGTCCATCATGCACATCTCTCAGAAACTCGCCCAGGCGCGGGAGGAGGGAAAGCCAACCTTCTCCTTCGAATTCTTCCCGCCCAAGACAGCGCAGGTACGCCGCACCCTGATGTCCCTGGCACAAGGAGCAGGAAGCTGATTTTATCTAGGGAGTCCAAAACCTCTACGACCGCATGGACCGCATGCATGGCTTCGGTCCACAGTTCATCGATCTCACCTGGGGCGCCGGTGGCCGCCACTCCAAGCTGACCTGCGAGATGGTCAAGGTCGCACAATCCGTCTACGGCCTCGAAACCTGCATGCACCTCACGTGCACCGACATGGAAAAGTCCAAGCTCGACGACGCCCTCCGCGATGCATACAACGCCGGCTGCACCAACATCCTCGCGCTGAGGGGAGACCCGCCGCGTGAGAGAGAAAAGTGGGAGGCGACGGCAGGTGGCTTCCGCTATGCCAAGGACCTCGTCGTATACATCAAGGAGAAGTATGGAAACCATTTCGACATTGGTGTGGCCGGATACTCCGAAGGAAGCGACGACAATGACAACGTCGATGAGCTCATCGACCATCTCAAGGAGAAGGTGGACGCCGGAGGAACTTTCATTGTCACACAGATGTTCTACGATACCGATCTCTTCCTCGAGTGGGTCAGGAAGGTTCGTGCCAAGGGCATCGACGTTCCCATCATTCCTGGTATTATGCCGATCCACACATACGCGGCATTTTTACGTCGAGCTCAATGGACAAAGTGCAACATTCCCAAGAACTGGACTGAGGCGCTGGAGCCTGTCAAGAACGATGACGTGGAAGTCCGTGAAGTTGGCAAGACTCTGGTCGCAGACATGTGCCGGCGGCTGATCGATGCTGGCATCATACATCTGCACTTGTAAGTAGGTGCTCGAGACTGGAAGATCGCCGACTAATTCCCATATAGCTACACCATGAACCTCGCACAAGCCACCCGCATGGTCCTCGAAGAACTAGACCTCCTACCAGACCCCGAGTCACCGCTAGAGAAGCCCCTGCCATGGCGGCCTTCCCTGGCCCTCAACCGACGCGACGAGAATGTCCGACCCATCTTCTGGCGCAACCGCAACCGATCGTACATCGCACGCACACAAGACTGGGACGAGTTCCCGAACGGTCGCTGGGGAGATTCTCGCTCGCCTGCGTTCGGTGAATTGGACTCATATGGCATCGGTCTGAAGGGAACCAATGAGCAGAACATCAAGCTATGGGGCACACCAATGTCGATTAGGGATCTGTCCGAACTCTTCGTACGCTATATGGAGGGAAAGCTCGACTCATTGCCGTGGAGTGAACAGCCCATCACGACTGAAGCTGGATCCATCACTGATGATCTCATCGACCTGAACCGTCGTGGTTTCCTGACCATCAACTCCCAGCCTGCTGTCAACGGAGCCAAGTCTTCGGACCCTGTCTTTGGTTGGGGTCCACGCAATGGTTACGTCTACCAGAAGGCATACCTGGAAGTGTTTGTCTCTCCAGAGCACATTTCGGAGATCATCACACGTCTCGAGCGCGACCCTGAGTTCACATACTACGCGGTCAACAAGGATGGCGACTTGAAGACGAACGCTCCCAACGAGGGACCCAATGCTGTTACTTGGGGTGTCTTCCCAGGCAAGGAGATTGTGCAGCCAACCATTGTCGAAACAGTCAGCTTCCTCGCCTGGAAGGACGAGTTCTACCGTCTCGGACAGCAGTGGGCCAACTGCCATGCTGGTGTCAGCCCTTCACGTTACGTGATCCAGGATGTTGTAGACACCTGGTACCTACTCAACATTGGTGAGTATATTCGGTTCATCGTTACGCTATTTCAACTAACATATTTTTGCAGTTCATAACGACTTCCACGCTACCCGCGGCATCTTCCCCATCTTCGACGGACTAGAAGTCAAGGACATGGACAAGCCCCTGGTCGATCCCAACAACGTTGACGTTCCCGGCACAAACGGAGAGGAAGCAGCAAAGCCAGTCAACGGCGAAAGCAACGTGAACGGCACAAACGGCGAGAAAGCTGGACCTCGCAAGGAAGAGAACCCAAGTCTCATCGACGCTGCCAAGGCAGCCGCTGTCGAGGTCACCAATGGCATGAGAAGCCTAGCAATGTCCAACTAGGCTTGTATGATCCGATATGGCACCCGGTCTCATTGCATTCAACACAACAGACCCAACCCTAGAGGAGCTTCCCTCGGACAGATCTCCACTTCCATGTCGATATTCAACAGCATACGCGGCAGAGTCCCCTTTCAACAGGACTCCTGCACTTCAACAAGCGCATATCCTCCGACTCTCCATTTTCCGGCGCAATTTATTGGTGTTCAAAAGGGAAAACAACACATTAATGTTCGCATAACATGCATATGCATCTGGGAGGCGTCAATTCAACCCGACGACCGTCACGCAAAAAAAGAATCATGGTGCGGGAACCCTAGAAAAGTTCAAGAAGCATAGTGGAGGATGATGTGATATGGCACAGCCTTTCTGAGATACCCGATTACTGCCCTCAACGGCAGTGATCAATTGTTCAATTACACTCTTTAACATTATGGTATATATGTCGTTGATATAGATAATTGTATCTTATCTTCACCCTTAATATCTGGCTGAGTTCATGGAACCTTGCGTTTTGCGAACAAATGCAAGCGCGCCTCCCCTTGGAACTGCGCAACATGGTGTACAAGCATGTATGGAACACGCCTATACTTCAATCAACACAAGGTTCGATGGCCTACATCGTCCACCGCCGGTGTAGAGGCGCACGTAAAGGCAAGGAAAAGAATGCCAAAAGGTGGCCTCGACGTACGAGCCAGGCACAAGATACACCTGCTACATGCATCCCTGTTACATGCATACCTAGACCCCTTTCTTCGTCAGGCCGGGATACGTGGGCCAGGAAACAGCTCAAGAAGTTCTGGAGGCATGGTACAAAATCATCGGTACATAGTGGCCTAAGCTGTGGAATATAGAGCACCTTATTGAGCTCGAGCACATTATACGCAGGGATGTGTTTTTCGTTGGCCTAGATCCGTCCAAGTTCCTTCGCACTCTGACAATTGACCTCCATATTGAGAGTCTCTTCACGAGTCGTGACGGCGAGTCAACCCAGGAATGCGTCGACTCGCTCCTCAGCATCAAGCGCAAAACCGACTTCACATTGATCATCCAATTGAGACAGAGGAACATCAGCTTCAACTCATGGTCTACGGCTTTCGATGCCCTGCGGCATGTGGTCGCTGTGTTTGAGGCCGAGGGCAGGGCGCACACGTCAAAGCTACTTTTACCTACGACAAGGACAGTCTCTGTCCGAAGATCACCTGGGACGCGCTTCCTGCGCTGAAGAGTGGCAATGACGACTGGCGCGCAGAAGCAGAACGTTGTTTGAACTCTGTAAGTGCTCATCCTTGTCACTGTCATCATCTCCACACGCACACTAACACGACTCTTCAAACCAAACAGGACTCCCGGCTTCGCTCACGACACAAGGTCTACCATCAAGCTAGCAACATAGCGGACGTGGAACACTCCGACGAGTCGGAGTACGATGCTAATGATGATGTCAAGCCCGAGAAAGACAATCTACGCGATAACAGCGACTACAATATGGACAATTTCATTAACGCTCTTCCGCATTTGGGTCGGGGAGACCCTTTTTTACGGGACCTATCTTGATCCGCATGACTTCAAGCCTCCTCCTCCTCCCAAACGCCGGCCGGCGTGGGAAGAACATCTACTGTGGAACGAATAAGGTCCATGTGCGGTGCAAAAGCGGTGGTCATGGTTGAGGCTTTTAAGTCGAACGCATATTCTGGAAGATGAACTTATGACATAAACACTACATATATACAACAAGGCATCAACGCCCGTCAACACCTATAAACCTCCCTCTCTTACACTCCCTCGCATCTACAACTTACTCCCACCTCCCAGAAGTTCCGCACCAGCCCCACTAATAGCGAGCTTACCCGTCTCCTTAACCTTAGTCTGGAACAGCACGGTATTACCCACCTTCCACATCTCGGTAATCAATGTCTGACCCGGCAGCACAACACCCGCAAACCTGACCTTGATGTTCTTGAACGGACCATACGTCTGCAGAACATGTTTACCGGAGATACCAAAGCTGCACAGGCCGTGCAGAATGGGTGTGGGGAAGCCGCCAGCTTTGCTGAACTGGGGGTCGATGTGTAGGGGGTTGAGGTCGCCGGAGAGACGGTAGATAGCAGCTTGCTCTTCGGTTGTGCGTTCCTCGACGACGGTGTCGGGGGCGCGCTCCGGTGCCTTGTGAATCTTTGTTGCGGCGCCGCGGTCAGCGCCCTTCTTCTGGCCGCCAAAGTTGCCAGAGCCGCGGATAAAAACTGTGCTCTCATTGTAGAAGATCTCCTCGCCTGTCTTCGCGTCCTTGGTTACGCTTCCGTATACGACGAGCCCTGCGGCGCCCTTGTCTACGACCTCGACTAGCTTGGGTACAGCGACGAGCTTGGCTTCGGTGGGGATGGGGAACTTTCGGATTTCGAGGAATTGCTCGCCGTGGAGGAGCATGCGGGGGTCGAAGTTGGGGACGATTTCGTCGAAGGAGAAGGGGGGTTCGGCGTTGAAGGGAGGGACGACACCGAAGGTGGGGATGACTTGGAAGTTCTCATCGCCTTCGTAGACGAAGGGGAGATCGGTGCGTTTGGCGCCGATGCCCAGGTCTGGAGATGGTGTTAGTTGTAGTTACTCATACGGAATGAAGCTGACTTACTGTAAAGAATGACATCCCTCTCGGTGTACTCGAAGGGTGTGCCTTCAGCCTTAGCAGCCAAGGCCTTCTTCTGAGCCTCGAGGACCTCCTCGTTGCTCTTGGTAGGCTTCTTCTCCTTCTTGCTCTTCTTGCTCGTGTTCTCCATGTTCGCCATGATAGACTTGAGACCGCTAGCGTTGTCGAAGGGGTGGTCGGCACGGCCATCGTCGAAGTTGGTAATGCGTTCCCATTGGGAGAGGACAGCCTCGGGAGTGAGCTTGACGTCCACGGGGAAGCCGTGTCCGCCAGAGCGTTGCCACCTGGTCGCCGCAAACCAACCAGAACCCATCTCGTACAGGCCACCTGTTGGCTCGGGAGCCTTGTCGGAAACGAGGAGAATGACGAGAGGAGCGTTGTAGTCGGGCTTGAGGGCCTGAACGACCTCTTCGGGGAAGATGCTGCGGGTCATCTGAGTGCCGGCGTTGGGAGCAACGGTGTTGACGAAGATGTTGTTCTTCTTGCCCTCAAGAGCGAGAGACTTGGAGAAACCGAGGATACCGCACTTGGCTGAGGCGTAGTTTGCCTGACCAAAGTTGCCGTAGATACCGCTGGTGGAGGTGGTGTTGAGGATGCGGCCGTACTTCTGCTTGAGCATGTAAGGCCATGCGGCCTTGGTGCAGGAGTAGGTACCAAACAGGTGAACCTTGTGGATGATGTCCCACTGCTCGTCGGTCATGTTGGCAAACGCCTTATCGCGCAAGATACCCGCGTTGTTGATCAGGATGTCGATGCGGCCGTACGTCTCAATGGCGGTCTTGACGACAGACTCGCCGTCCTGAACATCGCCTCTGTTGCCGACAGCCTCTCCGCCGAGCTTCTGGATCTCCTGGACGGTGTTGTCGGGGTTCACAAGATCGTTCACAACGACCTTGGCACCACGCTTCGCCAACTGCAAGCAGTAGATGCGACCGAGACCAGCACCTCCACCAGTGACAAGGGCGACCTTGCCCTTGAAGTCAAGGGGCTCACCCTTGGGGTTGGGTGGCAGCTGGTTGGCATGCTCGAGGAGCTCAAGCGCGTTGGCCGGGCCTTGTGGGTGTTCGGCCTTGGAGAAGTCGACAATGTCCTTCCATTTGGCTGGAACAGCTTCGGGTGTGAGGGTCTCGTCGGCCTTGAACAGAGCACCAGATGCTCGCTCCCATCGTAGCTTGGCGACGTGACCCGCGCCGGCCTCGAAGATAGCGCCAGTCTCAATGGACGACTTGTGTGTAAGGACGGCAACGAGAGGAACGATCCACTCAGGCTTCATCTTCTCCAAAACATCCGGGGGCATGACGGTCTCGGTCATTCGGCTGGCGGCGATCGGGGCGACGACGTTGCAGAGGATGTTGTACTTCAAGCCTTCCTTTGCGAGTGTCTCGGTGAAACCGACAAGAGCGAGCTTGGCAGCTGTTGAAGTCAGCAGACGTTGTTTTCTTCACAAAACGCAAGTGCATACCAGAGTAGTTTGTCTGTCCGAAAGATCCGAAAAGACCGGCAGCAGACGCAGTGCTGATGACCCTTCCGTACTTCTGTTTCCTGAAGTATGGCCACGCGGCATGCGCGCACTTGTATGCTCCGTAGACATGGACCCGGTAAATCAGATCCCAGTCTGCCTGCTTCATGTTCTTGAAGCTGACATCGCGCAAGATACCAGCGTTGTTGATGAGGATATCAATGCGGCCGAAAGTGTCGATGGCAGTCTTGATGATGGATTCTCCGTTCTCGACCGAATCGTAGTTGGCGACCGCCTTACCGCCAGCGGCGCGGATGGTGTCAACGACCTTGTCTGCGGCCTGTCGGGTGAATTAGCAGTGAATGAAGGACTACAGCTGAAGAGACATACCGCTGAGCCCGCGCCCTCGCCCTTGAAGCTGCCACCCAAGTCGTTCACAACGACGTTCGCGCCGCGACTGCCGAAGAAGACAGCATACTCGCGACCGAGACCACCACCAGCGCCCGTGACCACAACGGTCTGGCCATCATATCGCAGCTCCTGCGCAGCCATGATGTGTTTTCTGTGCTGTTCGAAGAGGCTACCCCTTCGTTCTTTCGCGGAAAGAAGTTGCGCTTGAGGAATCTCCTATGCAAGCAAGCAACAAAGGTATTTGTAAAGTCAAATGGGTATCAGCAAAGATCCCACGATAGAAAGGTGTAAGATTTGGAAAGTGTGAGGATGAGAGGATAGGTGGCTGGATGCGTGGAGGATGGCTCAAAAGTAAGGTCGTTCGCGATCTGACCCGGTCGTGTCTCATGAAAGCAGCCGAGCTGTTGATGATGACGAGTTACCTCGGTCCCGACGGCAGTTGGTCATGTGTGGGGATTGCGCACCGTGCACCTCACGCTTTCACATGTCCGCGTCTTGCACCCCATCATCACCTGGACGAGTCCGGGGTATCACATGATAATGATTAGAAAGTGCGCAATCTCACACTCGCATATTCAGAGCTTGCAGTCTTGGCTGGAGAAGTTCGATGAGATGATGATTCTTGAGCGGATGTGGGGCTGCGAAATGCGCCGCGTGAGGCCCGAACACGCATCGTACGCGTCCTAGACATCGCGATATGGTGGTGTATTGAAAAGGGAACAGATGCGATTGCGGATGCGTCTTTCCATCACAGCTGTACGACGTGCTGGAAGTGACGATCTCTTCCTCTTGATCATGTCACCAGAAGACAGGCGTCCTACTCGAACAATGCACCGAGTAAAGCACTAGCAACAGTAGTGTGTCCAGTACAGAGGAGCTCGTAGACCTCTCCGTGCTGTGTGATGGCATTCTGGTTGATTTCAATATACTAAAGGTCGCTGGATCAGATAAGATAGAGCGTGCTGTTGAATTTTGGTCTTGTTCGAGGCCTGCTATTGAGATGCAGCAAGCCAGCGAAGTCAAATACCCACACGCCAGGCCCGAACCTTATCACCCGACTAAGCACAGTCGACATCATCGATCCTTTGCAAACACGATTCTCCTCCAGGATCATTGCAACCCACTCAACATCTGCACTATGCCGAAGGCAACGCAGATCCAGACCCTCGTCGTCACCGCTTGTTGCCGGCCATTTGCTCGCTCGCTCAAAGTCAAGGCCGAAAGACTCCACAGCGCTTTCGTACGTGAGCGTCCTGGACACCACTCTTGCTACGCTGGCTCCCATCATGCGCGGTTCGGCCCGTTGACGGCTTTGACCGCCGTAAGTATTCGCGTACCTACCTTACCGAGCGTTGTGATCTTCTATAGTGCACCTATTACATGCCATGTTTTACTACTATCATTGAACAGAGGGTGTAAGGCGTCGAATCGGCGGAGTCAAAGACTTAAAGACATCCAGCAGGGGAATGTGCACCGGACGCTACCATAACCGACGTCACACCGACTACCACATGACGGATATCATATAGTGAGGCAGACGATAGTATTCTGTTCAGTCTGTGGCCGGATGTAAATTTCGTATCTCTCTGAGTCGGAATTTTCGGTCGATACCAGTGCTCAAGAGTTTTTCCGTAGGAACACGCCGCGAATTCTTCCGGTGCAAGTGAAAATGTTGCAAGATTTCTGCTTTGTGGTGGCTATATGATGCACTACTTTCCAATGCATCGGAGTCGATGACATAGCCTAATACGGAATCGGCAAGGCTCGCGAGAAGGCGTTATAGGAGTAGTAATCATCGTCAACATATCAACCTGAAGAATCATGCGAAGGTAGATTTTCGAACGTGCGATTGTGGGTACGAAACACTCGCAGAAGCAGGTCAGTGTAACCCGTACGTCTCATCTCCTTACCTAATCCGGGTCGGAGGAACTTTTCTCTTGTTACGAAACAAATGCCTATTGATTTCTGGTGAAATCAAAGTCTGGAGGCCATGTTCTTGCTGGAATGCCTCTGCTACCAGCGTTATTCAGATGCTGGCGCTCCCGAGTGATCGACTGACACCGAGTGTTGTGTCAATAATCCGTATCTATCTCGAGAGGCCGAAAGTCGTGTGGGAGGCTTGGTCCGTCTCCGACGACTGTGCGTCTTTGCATACATGTGGAGTTCCCATCGCGTCCATCGAATGCGCGTGGGCCGTGATGCAGAGGTGTTGATTGGCTGTGTCCCTTACGAAAACATCGGCGCCGTGTGTAGTTGTCGTCTTCACGTCAAAAAAGCCGGAGAATATTGCGCGGCATGCTCTCTGCCTAAAGATGTAGCTGGCCGAGAGTAGGCTACACTAAGCCTATAGTTATCAACCGGCAGCTGTCATGTTAAGATCCATGGATTAATGAACGCACAGGGCAGCAGGGTTGCAACACCTGGCCTGTTGACCATCGAATATTCTCATGGTCGTGGCGACAATGGGGACCACCTAGGCCCTGCGTCCAGTCATGGTGTACACGTCCAACAGCCACAAGAGTGACGTTGTGGCTTGGCTTTGATGGGCCTGTATCCCGAGGCCATGTCAGCGGTGTCGTTTTTCGAGAAGACTGTCAGCGGGGCCATCCGCCCGGGCATGCACCACGTGCCCACCAACGACCGAATCTATAAACTAGCGCAAGCAATGCTTGCCTTCACGGCGAATCGCTTCTGGTGCAGCGGAATTGCTTCCGGTGGCATTTTTGTCTAACATGAGCAGCAAAGATGTCCTAGTGAAGAAAATCCAGGTAGGCGGAGGTGGGCCTCCCCCTGTCTCACCTGACGCTGGACACTTACCACATATGCCGATGTGTCAAGAATTGCAGCGACCCAGAATCGAGGGTTTGATGATGCTTCGTAGTAGTATAGCTGTGAAAGTCTTCGGATGGGTGCTTTGTATGGAGACGTGGACCCCTGATTGCCAGTCCGCGGTGGCGATACGCCTCGTCTTGATCCGACTCTTAGCGAGTAGGATGTTGAATGGAAGTAGTGAAACGATCTGCTCGTCTTTCCACATTCCAAAACGGAGCTTGCTCCCGCCGATGCAGTAGCCTCTTTAGCTACATATGTCACCGATTCGTGGGGAATGTCCTGATGCTCAGAGGCAAGCTGGAGAGATAGCGCCTGGTTTTATGGAGATTGAATGTGATCAACCTTGGTCACCCGTGATTCGAGACTTGCGGTCACTTCGTCAGCCTGCTTTTAGTGACGTTTCCTCCCGCCACGATATCGGATAATTTTGCGCCTTTGCCGAGCTTGCTGCCAACTCACAGCGATATGCAGATCGCAAAGTCTACAGCGTCGGGCTATCGTCGTGCTGTTTCCATGAGATTCGCATCGTCGCCATCGTACACCACAACTCGTCTTGGGCCGCCCTTTTCATCGTTTGGTGTTGCCTGCGTATCATATCGTGTCCTCAGAGACGGGAACAACAATGAGCGAAGATACAGAAACAGTTAGCGTCCAGGGCCGAGAGTTCCAAAGAACATCCCTCGACGAGGGTGTTTACTACGCCCCAGTGGCCTTCGACGACCGCGAAGAGAGCAGACTAACAGCTCAACACGAAATCGTGTCCCGTATCTTCGGCGATGGACTCTTCTCCCCTCGGATACCGGTGGGAGAGCCCGAGGCAATATTGGAGTGCGGCTACGGTGGTGGAGACTGGGCTGTCCAATGCGCAGATGAATTTGAAGATTGCGAGGTGCGTACCTGACCCCATGGCAGTCATGTATGATGAGATTGGTACTCACAATGTGGCTCGTATCGATCGTAGCGTGTTAACAGTCTCAGGTAACTGCTCTTGACATCTTCCCTATGTGAGTCAAGCCTGTATACAGGGCATGCGGGTACGAGAACTAAGTCGTCGTCCCATGTCTAGGCAGATGGACCGACCCGAGAACCTAGACCTGGTCGCTCACAATCTCAACGATCCTCTTCGTGATCCCGACATATTCAAGGCGAACCACTACGATCTCATCCACTCGCGGTTCGTGTTCCCAGGCATCAAGAGCGGGAGATGGAATGGATACATCAGAGATATGAGGTTGTTGCTACGGCCGGGGGGTTGGGTGCAGATAATGGAATATCTCCCCATTATCCAATCACACAATGGACGTCTCACGGACGAAAATGCTGTGCGAAGATGGTGGCAGGAATACCAGGGCGCCATGGGGGACATGGATCGGGACCCGCGGATAGGTCGTCGGTTGAAGCGGCTGTTGCTCGACAACAGATATCGAGACGTCGACGTCGACATAGTGCAGCTGCATATAGGTGACTGGTCGAAAAGTGAGTCTCCCGTTCTACTCCGCCTTTTCCATCTTGTCCGATTGTGAGAGAAAACGAATCTTCCGCTACGATTGGCCATTATTCAGCACTTCGGAACATCCTTTTGGACGGCAATACTGATAATCGATATATAGATGAGACCCAAGCTAGCATCGGTAGAGATTCTGTTGAGGTACGTATGCGTCCCGGCCATAGAAGGTGGATATGCGCTGACTACGCGTCATCCGTCCAGATGATTGGTGACCTCCTTGAGTCACTTGGGCTGTGGCCATTCACGTCGAAGCTGGGCTGGGCAGCTGCGCAGTTTGAAGACCTCATGCGAGAAGTTCGTGCAGAGCTCCAGAATGTGGACTTGAACCTATACATTGAGCTGTAAGGATAACTCGTCCTGTTTGATGGATTATGTCTAATCCGCTTCTAGGTATGTTGCCCGGGGCCGGAAGAGCACTCGGTGATATCGCGTGCGTTTCTTCGCATCGATGTGGGTGACGTAGCGTATAGCAGATGCCGCAGGACGTATCATCGTGCAGCTTGTGCACGTACGAGGTGTAGAGGGTCGGTCGATATAGGCGGTAGAGAGAGAATCTTCCTGTGGTAGTCAGACTTGTATGCTCAGATTCGGGTAGTGAATGCGGCGGTACATCATCCAGTAGCTGTTAGCAGGCTGATTTCGAATGCTCTCAAACTAGCAGGGCTGATGTGTACATTAAATGTCCTCCAAACACTCACAATTCCATGTCCGAAGTCGTGATGAGGATTTCAGTTGTGCCTTCCATTCCTTCAAGCTTCTCAACTCGAGGAAAGCCAGAAGCACATTCGTCACTGCCTCTGGCCAAGAGACGGTACCGATTGCAGGAACTATTCCTTTGGTCGATGCAGCGGTGCTACCGTGCTATGCCGTCACGGCTCTGTCGAGTTGATGACAAGGGGACCGGCGCGTGGTTCTAGCATCGTGGAAGCTGTCTCCATGCCAGTGCAGAGTCAGATCCAGACCGCGATGAGGGACTGCTCGTCAGACCGAGGATAGGGCGAGTCGGTAGATGATATGCAGCAGAGGAGCGCAGCATCGGCACGGGTGTTGCGATACATGCAAACACGGAGTTGAGGATGAGAATTTGGAAAGGGAAAGAGGGTCAAACACATGAGGGAAGGTGGGGCGACTGAACAGGGACCAGGCTATGGGACGCTAGAGGCCCTGAAGAGTGAGGGTTCGTCGTGAAGAAGGAACCACCATGCTCAACACCACCTACGTCAGCCGTCGAGATTGCGTCCTTGCTCCCACAGATCGAGGAGGAAGGGGCATCAACACAGCCGGTCGATGCAAATAGGATCTCATCGGTACCTCTCCTTGTCTGCAGCCCATTTCCCCGACAGTCTGGTACCGAGATACGCGCTTTACTGGGGCGCTTTCCTGGCTAGACGCCAACGCCTTTGCGACTTCGCGACGAGACAGCCGAATGCCGCTTCATCGGCATCGAGTCCCCTCAATTGTGTCAAGCTTCGGCTTGCAGAAGTTTCCGCTATATGAAGTCTCTGCTCTCTCTCTACAAACTCCATACGGTGTTGTTCCCATCTCAGCACTACCGCTATCGACGTTGGACTATCGAGTGCTTTGGTCCAATATGGTTAGACGCATCCACCAGCGATAGCCTGCGCAAGACGCGTGCACCGGGGAAGCGGGCACGGTCAAGGAGCCAACGGCTTCGAGGCGAGACACCTCCATGTCAGTATTGGCGTGCACAAAGATTGTCTCGTCAAAATGTCGATCCGCATTCAGTACACGATCTGAGCATCCTAGCGACAGATCGAAAGTGTACCAGGAAAAACAAATCCTCGGCCTTCAGCTCCAGAAGAAGCATATAAAGACAACACACGATCGGGCCATCTTCCGATGAGACAGGCCAACACTTACTTGCGCCATTCTTCTAATGCGCTCCTTCCACGAAGTGTCCGAGCAACAACTTCGACATTGGAATGTGCCCTTCGTACCTCCGCAGACTGTACACATGAACTAGTGTGAACGAAATGCGGCATACAATAATCTCGCTCATCTGCCCGAACTCTGGTTCCCACTGCGATCCCGGGTTTTGTGCATCGAGACCTCGGCTGGAGGAACATTAAGCACGCTCGGCGGCAACCGACCGACACACCAGAACGTTATGAAGCAACATCGACGTCACTATACATCCCCAGATCTAGTCTGCCCCAGACCCACCAGCCACGTGTGATCTCAACGCATTCATGGATGGTCGCAACGGTGCCTTAGGATGACAATCCGGCGCGTAAATTAGCGATGACATATCGAGCATCACAGATCGAAAGCTGTCAGTGTATCGCTGACAAACATCAACATAAAGACCACGGTCAATGCAAGTTCATGTCGAGAATGCGACGTGGTTGTTATTGGCCCAGGTTTCAATCTCCGGTTCATCGACACCAGCCTCGGATCGAAAAATGCACACCTGTTTAGCCTGATCCCAGACCGTCGACACCCGTAAAGCGTATAGCTCCCGCGACCGGCATCATTTCCATGAACAACCGGGCTCGCGTCCCCAATTTCCCCGCGTACCAGCTGCAATTAATCATGAAGTATTTGCCGACCTGGATTAGCCCCATGTATCGGCGGAAGGGAATGGTTTAGTGCTTTGGAGAAGTTCCGCCCGCCTCCACAGGCTTAGCGATATAAGTACCTGTGTATGTCTCGGCGCAAATTTCTGTTACCGACAACCTGGCTGTCTCATAATGGTGTCTTCTTGGTCGATTCGATTGCTCGTCGCTAATTTAGCGATTACTGGGGGAGTCGCAGGGGGCTGGCGCGACGGGAAGTTCAAGACGTTGGTGACGTTTGGCGATAGTTACACGGATGAGAACCGACTGGGATACTTTATCAACAACAATGGCTCGGCACCACCTGTGGCATGGCAGCAGCCTGTGGTAAGTCAAAGTTGTTATGACACCAATCTCAACCTCAACTAAACATGAACAGGGTCTAGCCACAGCCTCCGGCGGCCTCTCCTGGGCGCGTTACGCCAGCATCTACTCCAAAACCAACCTCTACAACTACGCCGTCTCAGGCGCCGTATGCTCCAACGAAATAACGCCCCGCTACTTCTCCGCCATCGACGCCCCCTTCCCCGACATCGCGGGCTACGAACTCCCCGCCTTCATCGCCGACTCCACGGCCACCACATCCAACGGCACGCAATTCTTCACCGGCAAACCCTCCTCCACCGTCTACGCAATTTGGATCGGCACCAACGACCTCGGCAACGGCGCCTTCCTAACCGACAGCCAATCTCCGAACAAAACCGTAGCCGACTACATGGACTGCGTATACACGCAAATCGACCGCCTGTACGAAAACGGCGGCCGCTACTTCGTCATCATGAATCTTGCGCCGCTTAACCTCCTCCCTCAGTACCAACAACCGGGTGAAGGCGGTCTTCAGTCGACGCAATACTACCCAGACACCCCCGGAAAGAACCTCACAGAAGTCCACGGCCGCATGCAAAACACCGTGGCAGCTCTCAACCAGGTCTACGCCTACCGCACACCTTTTGCCGCGGAGATTGAGGAGCGCTGGGAAGATGCCAAGATAGCTTCCTTTGACGTCAACGCACTCATGACGGATATGTACTACAACCCGTCTAGCTATCTGAATGGGACGGGCGCGCCGTTAAATGTCCAAGGAGTGGAGAGTCTGTGCGATGAGCAGGGAAGTAATTGTACGAGTACGGATAGCCCGGATAGTTTCATATGGTTTGATCCGTTGCATCCGAGTGAGCAGACGAGTAGGGTTGTGGCGCGGGAGTTTGTGGGTGTGTTGGGCGGGAAGAGTCGGTGGGCTAGTTATTGGGGGTGTTAGGAGGCTGTTGTGGAGGGGACATGTGGGCAACGTAATCAATGTTGAGATGATAATATACGATCTATGCTTATCTTACAAACGTAGTCTTTTGTTGTACCCCTTCTTTTCAGAACATGAATACGCCAACCCGCTATGCTATGCCATGCCTATCAAAACAACAACCCACCCAACCCCATCCCGCTATGCTATTCAAACAACAATCCATCCCCATCCACCATCCCATCCATCACAGATACCCGAAACCCCCTCCCAACAAAACCTAGATACTCCGACACCACCTCTCCAACCCCTTATCCCCACCCCTAACCCCCCTCAACACCTCCCCCACCTCCTCCAAACTAACATCACACCTAACCATCCCAAACGCACCCACAGCCCCTCCCGTCAAAACCGGCATGCACAACCCCAACTCAACAAGCCCCTCCCACTCGCGCCTCGCCACATCCTTGCCCCACACTTTACTCGCTCCACTACTACTGCTCAGCCCGCCTGCCGCAGACTGAATGCGCGCGCGACTGGCGAGGGTGACGTATTCGTCGTAGGCCATGTTGAAGTTGCACGTGTCGGAGTCGTGGATGATGTCTAGACGCGCGGCGGCGATGAGGAGGGAGAGGGAGAGTTGGGAGAGGGAGGGGATGAGGGTGAGTTTTGAGTCTGGGGGGGAGAGGGTGGTGCTGGGTTGGAAGGGCGTGGTGGGGGAGAGGGTGGCGGTGGGGAGGAGGAAGGTGGTTAGGATTTTGGGGACGGATTTCGAGAGGTAGAATGTTGGGGCTAGGTGCGTAGTTAGGAAGGTGGGGGTTGAGAAGAGTTTCTGGAGGAAGGTCAGCTGGGTTGTGGTTCGATAAGATGGAGGGTGGATGGGCTTACGGAGATGTTGTTGTTCCATTGGGATAGTGCGTCTTCTTTCGTGTCGCCTTTCTTTGCTTTCTTGGCTGGCGTGGTCTTGATGCCACCTTCTAGTATACCTCGTTCCTCGACGCTCAGTTGCTCGGGCTGTATTAATAAACACGCTTTGCATGTTTCTTGGAACGCGGTAAATGTCGTTGCCAGTCTGAGATGCACGTAGCGGTGGCTGAAGCGACTCTTGACACGCTTCTCGAGACTATTAGTCACGTCGATGCGTGTCGTCAGTCCCAAAACTGCGATGGGCGCTTTTCGTGACTGCGCGATGTCGAAGAGATTGTAAAGCAACGTCTGACGGGGGTGTTGAGCGAAGAGGTCAAACTCGTCCATGACGAAAACGACGGCTTTGGCGACTTCGTCAGTAACCTCACCAGTCTGTTCGGATGGGTGGGACAACAGAGCGAGCAGCGTCGCTAACGTATCTGCGTAGTTCTTTCCTGGACCGCTACCATCCTCCTCGATGTCCATCTCTTTTCCTAACTGACGCCAGATCTCACGGAGTGCAATCTTGTCGTCTGTGTGGACAAAGCCGTTCAGCCGGACGACGTGGTATTGGCCGCCGTTATCTTTGGAGACTTCAGAAAGAACTTTGTTGACAAGTGCCGTCTTTCCACTACCCCGGGCTCCGATGACGAGCATTGAGTTGCCCTCGCCAGCAGTGATGGTATGCTCGACAAGTTGGTGTACAGATTTATACTCCTCGTCTAAACCAACTAGAGGCGATGGTCGTTTGCCGGTGATACGCTCCATGACGATCGTTTTTAAGAGGTCAAGCTCGCGACCTGGTGCAATATCGCTATAGATGGCCGATAGAGCGAGCTTCTCCTTTTCCTTCTGTGCTGATGTAGGCTTGTTGAAGGGACTGGGTTCCGTGGGGTCCAGCAAACTGTCCAAGATGCTGTTCCCATCTACCTCCATATCATCCTCGTCATGGCCATTGGCCTGCTCTTCCGCATTCGACCAGCGCTCCTCGTCGTTGTTGTTGATATGATCGGTGCGGTTGAAGCGTCTTCGTGCACTAGCAGTGAGCTTCCTGTTGCTTGTGGGAGAGCCATCGCCGAGTTCGTCCTCACTCTCTGGTATGGTTGTTTGCTCTGCAGCTGGTTTTCGTCGCTTGGCGGACTTGGAAGGTGTGGCTGCGACTGCCTCTTCCAACTCGGGCTCCGTCGCTGCTGCCTTCTTTCGTGTACTGGTAGCTGGCTTTCGTACTGAGCGTGGCTTCGAGGTCTTGGTCACTTTGGTCTCATTTTGCAGCTCATCCGTCTCATCCTCCTCGGGGATAGGACTAGGGTCTCTCTTCTTGCGCGCACTCGCTCGTGGGGCAGCTGGTTTGCGCGCCGACGCTGCTGGCTTCCGTACAGCCTTTGCAACTTTTGCAGGTGTGATGGCATCCGTCGATGCCTCTTTCAAAGCGGCCCGACTTGCGGCTTCCGCCTTTGTAGGTCGCCCCTTTCCTCGCTTCGGTGGAGTGTTTGTTTGCGTGTCCTCCTTGTCTTGCGCCGCGATTGGCGTGTTCTCTTTGAGCGCTTTCTGCGAAGATTTGCGGACCCGCGTTGGTCGTGAGGATATTTCGACGTTCAATGCGCCCTCGATGTCATCGTAGATGTCAATCTCTTCTTCTGCCGCACGCTTGGCCGCAGTGCCATTTGTTGCGCCCTTCAGCGCCCGACCTTTACGCACTGGCGCTGGCTTCTTCTCCACATTCTGTACAGAATCGCCGTTCGTATTCGTCGTGGTTTGGGCTGCAAGTCTGCCAGAGGCTTTTCTCGTTGACGGCTTTGTTGTCGGACTCGATTCGGTGCGCTTCGGGGTGTCGAGCTTTCTCCGCTTAGAAGATCGTGGCGATTCGTCCATGGCGGTACTTGGGACGTTCTATTATCGTATTTGTATAGTTGATGGCTGTTCGTTATTGGGAATGCATCGTGATGGTCGTATGCGCCAAACGTTTCGCGATGGTGAAAGCGCTGGTCAAGGCGCGTCAATCCACAAGTCGCGTCGCGCTACAATTCCGCTTCCCGCCCGGGCGCCCCTGCATCATCCCAAGAGTCATCCACCCTCGCTTCTCTATGTGGAAGACGAGCACCAAACACCACACCATGAGCGCCAGTACTAACCGTACAATTCATATCGGACCTTAGACTGAGTCATCATGGCTCCGCAGTCGGGCTCTTGTCGTGACTTTTGCGCTTTCCGACGGGCCCAGGGCCTCAGAGCCCCACTCAACCGTACATCGAGCGCGCCCTACAAGTGATTCCCAAGCTAACGCCATCACTATTTATCTCAACATACAATGGAGATTGTAGATAAGTATGAGTCTGCTGCCATCGATTCAACATCAAATTCGAGCACTCAATGGCTTCAACTCATATCACCCAGGTCGATTTGACCACTTACCCACAGCAGCCTTCGGCGGCGACAACGGACATCGAAATACTACGCCAACACGAAGATGACGAGCAACGTCTCAACAGTGACGATGGCTTCTCCCTTCCGCCCACCGATGGTGGTAAGGATGCCTGGCTTTGCCTCTTCGCTTGCTTCATGCTAGAAGCGATGATCTGGGGCTTCCCTTCCTGCTACGGCGTCTTTCAAGAGTATTATGCTACTAGTGAGGAGTTCTCCGGTCAAAGCAACATCGCCGTGGTTGGCGCTTGCGCAATGGTATGTTCTATGAATCTTTGTCGGTTCCCATTCTGACACTCCTTTAGGGTATCATGTACATGGACATCGCGTTCTGGTTTGCCGTGCTCAAATACTTTCCCAAATTCCGCATCTGGGCCACACCAGTCGGTCTAGTTGTCGTTTGCCTCGCTTTGGGCCTTGGATCTCTGTCAACGAGCGTAACGCACCTGATAGTCACTCAAGGTATCTTGTACGCACTCGGCGGCGGCCTCGCATGGACCCCAATCCTTTTCAACATCGAAGAGTGGTGGGTACGCAGAAGAGGCTTTGCCTATGGAGCCACCATGGCTGGTCTAGGATTGAGCGGGGCCATCCTCCCTCTTATACTTGAATGGCTTCTACACTCATACGGATTCCGGACGACTCTACGAGTATGTGCGCTCAGCTTCGTAGCCCTCAACTTTCCGATAGTCTTCTTCTTCAAGCCTCGACTTCCACTATCGCAAACATCGCAGTCCAGGGGTTTTGATCTGTCGTTCTGGACATGTTCGAATTATCTCATCCTGCAATCCGGCAACATCATCCAAAGTCTTGGCTTCTTCCTACCAGCAATCTACCTACCTACTTTTGCTCGATCCATCGGCGCAGGCAGCATCGAAAGTACCGTCACAATCATCCTCGTAAACGCCGCTGCGTTTGTCGGATGTCTATGCATGGGTATCGCTACCGACAAGTACCATGTCACGACCTGTCTTATGGTCTCTGCACTGGGGTCAACGGTCGGCATCTTTCTCCTCTGGGGGTTCTCTACATCACTAGCGCCATTGTACATGTTCTGCATCGTCTATGGTGCCTTTGCTGGCTGTCAATCGAGCGCCTGGAGTGCAATCGTCGCAGACACTCAAAAGAAGCGCAGAGGCGCGGATTCTGGCTTCGTATGGGCCTGTCTATCGGCTGGGAAAGGAGTAGGCAACTTGTGCAGTGGTCCGCTCTCAGAAGCATTGCTAAATGCTGGTGATTGGAGTGCAGGCTTTGCTTATGGCAGCGGATATGGCGCGTTGATCGCCTTCACAGGTGTGACCGCACTGTTGAGCGGCTGGGGATATGCTGCAAGGAGAATTGGATGGATATGATCCGATGCCTCTCGATGCCTGACGTAGTTCATTGCCGAGGTCTGCGTCCCGCACGGCAGTACGTCACACATCACGCCGTTACTACATTTCAAACACCAAGCAGGTCTCCCGATGCTCAAGTAGACGATGTGCCCGTTCCTGTTACAGAACAACCATGGTCGGCATTTGGTTGCGCCAATCAGCTAGCGACATGCCCTCTTGGCGTCGAGGTACGCGTACGCCTGAAACAGACCCACCACTACCATCAACATGCGATCGGCCCTCCCGCTCGCATCTCGACCTCTCCCTCGAAACATGTTGCCGTTCTACCCAATCTATCCATGGCCATCGCAGCCTTGCTTTTACGCAAATTACCGACTTGGCCCTTGTCACCCACCTGTTTACAGCTTTGTTTTATAGCGCGCACAACGATTCCATTGGAGAAGCCATGAAACTCCACAGCGATCGGCATGAAATCCCCATACTACAATTTACGAATCAGGCCATGCAGACGCGGTTCCTGGCTAGACCTGCAGAGATTGCTCACCAAGCCCGCGCCGCCGCGTCTTCGCAATGTCTTGATCGATCTTATCTGTAACTAGCAGGTGGGCGCACAGACGCTTGCTCATAGTGATTCTCCCAGCTCCAGCAACTTCAAACGACTGGGCAATCTGGGGGCGGCAGGCCCGCGGGATGCTGGTTTGAGGTGAATGAGTGGTTGATCATGGGTAGATCATGGCCTGGAAATCTCCGAAACGAAACAGAAAGATATATATCTAGGGCTCTCTGGCCTCAGTTTGTAGGATCATCAACACAGTTCTTCACAGATCAGTTGTCCAGCACTCTTTCTCTCTTCCTCATCCTCTTTCTTTACACTTCGGTCAGGCCTTTCTTTGCTCTACCCAAGTTCACTCTCTCTAGATATCCTAGTGGTATATACATTCTTTTTGGCTGAGCCACTATCTTTACATTTCAACAACTTCAGCCTCAAAACATTCACACGGACTTTCACGCTACTATCTCCATCAAGATGAAGTACTCCGTCCCCGTCGTCCTCGCTCTCTCGAGCAGCGCTGCCGCCGCCCCCTTCGGCGACTACCTCGACGCCATCTTCGGCACCAAGGACACTCGTCAGGCACCTCCTCCTCCTGGATTCCCTTCCATGGGCATGCCACCTATGGGCTCTCCCACCCCAGGTTTCCCTCCCATGGGTCCTCCTATGGGAACTGGTGCCCCAACACCTGGCTTCCCCCCTATGGGTGCCCCAACCCCAGGTTTCCCTCCAATGGGCCCCCCATCCGGTCTCCCACCCATGGGCGCACCAACCCCCGGTTTCCCCCCCATGGGCCCTCCTATGGGCACCGGCGCCCCAACGCCCCCCGGCTTTCCCATGCCCATGCCCACCGGCGGCTTCCCAGGCGGCCCCGGCGGCCCAGGCGGCTCCAGCAACATGCCCCCTTCGTGGCCCGTCCGCGCGCGCGCCGCCCGCAACCTAGCCATCGACTACCAGCTCGCCCCGCGCCAAGGCGGCGACCTCCCCCTCCCCAGCTTCTCTCTCGCCGACCCCGAGAACGGCGGCGCACCCACTCCCACTGAGTCCCCCTCCGGCGGCGGCGAAGAAGGCCCAGGAGGATTCCCCGGTCTACCCCCTACTCCCTCCCCTGGTGCTCCCGAGGACACCGGTAGCGGCGGATTCCCAGCGCCCACAGGCGGGTTCCCGGGTCTGCCTACTGGTGCGCCTGAGGGACCTGGTGGAGGTCCAGGTGGTTTCCCAACGGACCTTCCTTCTTTCCCTATGCCGACTGGTATGCCTGGCGGTGCGCCTGGAGGCGGTTTCCCCGGTCTGCCTGGTACGGGCATGCCTGGTCTGCCTACTACCATGGAGACGATGACGCGTGGACCTAAGCCAACTGGTATGCCTGAACTTCCTGGTCAGGAGGATGGTCAGCAGGGTCCTGGTGGTGACAACGGGTCTGGTGGCTGGTGGAGCTGGCTTGGCGGATTGTTTGGTGGTGGTAAGGGGGATGGTGAGGGTGCTGGTGCTGGTGAGGGTGCTGGAAGTGGAATTGGTGCTTAGATGCTTGGCTTCTTTGTTGCATGAGTTTCGGTACAAGGTCGTTGTACTGAATGAAGCAGAAGAGGGAGAAGACGTCTTGACGGCGCGATTGGTTTCGATTCTTGTCAAAATACTTTACACATTCACTTTACTACAAAGTTTTCATACATGCCAACACGGTAGAATGACAAAATAACAAATTCATCTCAACACAAGCATCACTTCCTGGTACTAATCTTCAGGCATTCTAGTCATCCCCCTCACTCGCGCTATCCAGCTCATACCCCTCTTCAATCTGATCCTCTCTAAACATAGTTCCATAATACCGTGGCGGCTCATAAGGAGTCCATGGAGGTTCCGGAGAAACCGATTTGCCATATTCATCGCGGTCAGAGTCAGTTTCTTCATAGCCTAGGTAATCGTCTGACTCCCAGTCATCCTCGCTGTAGTCCCTGCTCTTAAGTTCCCGCGGGTCGTAGTCTGCGTCGTTTTCGATGCGGTAGTGTTTGTGGTGCTCGCGTACGCGGGAATCCTATGTATTCGTAAGTCACTATGTGTGAGGCAGCGAGCGATGTAGAATTAGTGTGCTTACACTGTCGAAGTGACGAGCGGCTTCCTCTCTCCAGTTGGATTCGGGATTCTTCAACGCGGGGAGCATGTTGAACACCAATTTCGGTATAAGATCTTGGGCGTAGACAAGAAGCAGCCTTACGTCCGCGCCTTCTTCCTCGAATTTCTCAATCATGGGTCGGAAGATTTCGAAGACGGTGAACCAGGGATTCAGTTGGAGGTATGACTGCTCCAACCGCAGTCTTAGTTTGAAATTCGCCTTATTCTTTATCTGGAGCAGCGCGTCGACAGTTCGTTTCGATTCGCTGGTGTCCTTGCCCTTGTTCCTTAGGAATCCGTCGGTAGTAAGCCGGAGTGTCAACTTGCGCACAACAGTTGTAGTATCCAAACCGACAGAGAAGGCGTCGCCACGGATAACGTAGTCGAGTTCGTCTGTGGTTCGTAATTCCCATATGTCGGGTTTTACTCTTGAGATCGACTTGTACCAGAATTCGACAATCTCCAAGGCCGATGCATCCCCTACGAATCCAGGTCTCATAAAGTATGGAATTTGTCCATGTTTAGGGCAGCTGTCCACTGTTCCCGGGTGATGCGTTTTTACTAGAGTGTCACAATCTATGTCGCCCCCAGAGCAATTCCACTTAGGATGATATGTTATACGAGTATCTTTCAGTGTCTTGTCGTCCCAGACGTATGCGTATACAATGTCGCGAACTTCACGAGGCAAACGCCGTTGCATTTGCTCGAAGAAGGGGCGACTCCATGAGGCGGTGAACGCCGAGAGAGCTAACGGAAGGTGTCTGTGTTGGAGTCTTGTATGAGGTCTTTGCTCGAGTTCATAGAGATCAAGACTTACTCGCGCCGGACGTCTCTCTTGCGCTGTCGCGCTCTTGCTTCTTCGATTTTTAATGCTTTGATCTGCCTTCTCAATGCTGAGATAGTTCGCGTAGCTGTACGAATTCTGGGAGGATTCAGCACAAGGTGCACCAGTGAAGCTCTAGGAGCTTTGCGTACGTATCGTTCGCGTCTAATTCCATACCCTTGATGCTGCAACTACGTTAGAACTGATCTGACATGAGGTGCTGACAGGGCCCAAAGACCTACGCGCGAAGCCGCTGCACTGCGAACTCAGCCGATAGCTTCCAATCGATCATAGCTGCTCTCTCCATGGCTGTTTTTGGGTGGCGTGATCAATGCGGATGAACCTTGGGGGTTGAAGTCTTGTCGCTAAGAATATGAGGTGGCACGGTGGATAGGCGCTCGCGCTTTAGTGGCATCGGACCGGCTAGCATTCCGAAGATCCGAATCCCTGCACTATTAAGATGGCCGCAGTATATCATCCATACAACATGGTATATGTCAGTGTTCACGAACGTCTGATGGTTGCGAGAGATTTATGTAGCATCATATGTATTGAAATGACTGAGGAGCTAGCTAGTAAGGGTAGTAAACCCGAGTGAGATAAGTAATCACGTGATGCTATTCCGGCCTTCTCAATCGGAACCTGAATCTGGGTCGTACCCAGGTCCATCTACGTGCTCAGACTCGGAGGAGGCACCCACCCAGCTGGGCGCGTCGAAGCTCTCCCAGTATTCGTACATGTCTTTGATTGCCTCACTTTCTTCCATTTCGAGATCCTCTAGCAAGTCGTTCTTCCATTGTATGAGGTCACTTCCGTACTGACGTGGCGAAGACACTGCACCTGGATAATTTCCTCGACCATCATGGCGATACCTTTCAACACTGTCATCGCTATCGCCTTCATCGCTGTAGATGTCTTCATCCGTCCCGTAAGGAGTATCGCCATCTTCGGGACGTGAAGTGGGGTCATAATCGTCGTTGTTTTCGATACGATAAGCCCTGTGTATGTCGCACAGACGTGTAACCTGGTTCACGCATATGGTCAGATGAAGTGAGTAGGATATGGATGACGGGAAGATCTTACATTGTCAAAGAAGCGTACTGCATCCTCTCGCCAGTTGGATTCTGGATGTCTCAGAGCGGGGAGCATATCATACTTCGGTACTCGACGTGGGTAGAAGCTGTCGTACACGAACTGGACCCGCACACGACCTCCCTCTTTCTCAAAGTTGACAACTGTATCCCTAAATGTGTCGAAGATCCGCTGCCAAACGTTGAGCCTAATGTATTTTTTGGAGGACCCGAAGAGTCAGCGTAAAGTCCCTTTTCTTCTCGATGGACAGAAGCCTTTTGAAGTGGAGCTTATAAACATGCTCGCCGTCTGATTCTTTTTCGAGGATCGCGATTGTTGAATCAGCGTTCAAAACGACAGCTAGCCTTCGCAAAATAGCTGCAGGCTTCAGACCAACAAGAAATTTGTCTTGATGAAGGAAAGACGGTATGTCAGTCACATGTATTCCCATTGCATAGTAGTCGTTGCCGCGAGCCAAGCGACTATACCAAGCTTCGATCATTTCAAGGGCAGAGTCTTGCCCGACGAAAACTGGCTTTATAAAGTATGGTGCCAGGTTGTGATGGCAGCCGTCAATCGCATCCGATTCGACAAACGTCGTCATGGCTTTCTTGCAGTCTTGCCGCAAACTCCGGCAACGAGAGTCCATGATGGGTATCATACTTCTGTTTGTATCGGCCAGAGTTTTACTGTCCCAGATGTGCGCATAGACCATATCTCGGAGCTCGCGGGGTAGACGTTGTTGAGACATTTCGAAGAATGGAAGACTCCAGGCTGCAGAGTACCGCCGGATAGCTGACGGAAGATTCCTGGTGGGTAGAACTACATTAAGCTGGGGATGATCTCAAGTTTCCGAGCTCTATGCACTTACCGGAGAAGCGCATCAATCTTCCTTTTCGTCATCTCTTTGCGTTGTTTCTGTAACGCATCGAGCTTTGCATTAGTAGCTACGATTTCATCTTTGACTGAGTTGACCCTGACGCAGTTTTTAGTACAGTTTTAGAGATTGGAGAATTTCTGGAATTCACATACTCTTTCTGAGCATCGAGGTCCTTCCGCTTGATGCTGCCAGCTCGTTAGCACAAGAGCGAAGTGGGGCCGAATAGTCCGTCTCACTCGCGCAGACAGTCGAGCGCTGATTCCAGGTCTGTATCCATTGTTGCGGCTGTATATGGCGATGAGCTCACACTGTGGGAAGCGTGGGGAGTGTGAGACGTACGGCCCTCGGGGGAGGGGGTCAAGAAGTTAAGAGTTGGGATTACTGTATGTTTATCGACTGCGGGCCTGCGGCACAGCGGCAGCCTCGGAACATTCCGATCCCTTGTTTTTGCAACAACCTTAAAGCGCAGCGCGCTGCAACTACCGAAGAAGACTCCGCATCCATCCATTAACGTTTTCGTCCCCGCCTACTGACCCAGCACTTCCCTGCAGCCTACAAACTGATGACAACCCCAATCCCCATCGCGTACGACACACGAGCAGAACCCCAGCTACCACCGCCTCCCGGAGCCATCGCAACCACAATTGCGTCTCGACAACCCTCTATCCAAATCAGAAGGTCGTAAACCTGTATCCTCGAGCAAGCCCCAGTCCCAAAAGTCTTCCTGCCCATCGTCTGGGTCATAATTCGGCTCGTCCTCCCCTTGATAATGTCTGTCCTGATTCCTAATGCGACAGAAACAAATCTACTCTGCTTGTCAGCGCCGTATTTGCATGAAGATGGGATGAACTCGAGATGAGAGGGCCAGTATTACCGAGTCCAGATATTCGATTACGCCCTGCTTCCATGTGTTTGGATCATAGCCTCTAACGATGCTGTTCAAGTCCACAAATACATATGGTGTAGGGTGCGGGCCCCGACTGCAATGAATAGCCTGTACGTCAACGATAGCTCCTTCATCATCGAACGCCTTGACCATGGGTTGCAAAAGATCAAAGAAGTCAAGCCAGCAGTTTAATCGGAACTTGGGAGTGCAAATACGAAAGTTGAGTCGGAAACCAGCCTTTTTCTTGATCCGGTGGAGAAGATCGAAAGACTTTCGACGTGTGAATGCATCTGGCCACTTGCAATACGGACTAGCGAGCCTAGACGTGGTTTCGCCGAAATCGATGGTGAGAGTCCTGAGGACTGTGGCTGGGTCTAGGCCAACTCGGAAACGGTCTTCACATATGGTTTGTTTGATCAACTCCCGGGTATCGGAGATTGTGAACGTGTCTGGTGTAAGTGTAGATGCGGCTTTGTACCATGACTGCACTATCTCCAATGCTGTCTCTTTGCCCATGAAGTCAGGCTGAACAACATGTGTATGGCACCTCGGATCGAAGTGGCCGAGAGGACCGGACTGCTGCCTTGGCTGTCTTGTGGAGTTGAGATACTCCACATTCCAGATCTGTGCATATATCATCTCGCGAACTTCGCGAGGCAGTAGCTCCTGCATCCTAGCAGAGCAAAGCATGTTCCAGGCTCTCGATAATTGCTCACATGATGTGTCGAACTCGCTTTATACAAGGCAACGTCAGCGATGAACAGAATTGGGTAGAGCTGGCGGTCACTTACGCCTGCACTTCTGTCTTCTTCTCCGCTGCTGATAGCCACTCATGTTTTGCTGCTGTACGCTCCCTTTAGATGCTACATTAGCTTGCATGGCCCTGAAGTTCTGTAGTTCGGCATTTACCTCTCCTCTGTAGCAGCTTTAGTCCGTTTCAGGCTAGTTAGGTCGTCAGTTTCTCTGCAGTCCAGGCAGCAGTGTATGAAAATGGGTATACAAACATGAACAATCTATTACACGCATCGCGCACATCTTGTTCCAAGTCGTATGAACTTTTCATGGTGGTGGTATAGCGCGGAAGAAGTTAAGATGGTAGTCTGAGTCAAAAGCGCTCACTCTCCTTCGGAAGTCATGAAGTGTAGATTATCATCATGTTCGTAAGGCGAAGTCGCGCTAGATTCGCGGGTTGCCCCACCTACGCGTACTTCATGGGTGGCCTCACGATTATTGAACGCCTCATGTACCAAGCCTGTACGTTTGCATGTGGTTCAAATGTTTGGATTGATGAAGTATCGGCACAGTGCCAGCTACGCATTTTCCCTGTCAAACAATGTAAACCATCCTCACCGCCTACCAGTGGGTCCAACAGCTTCTTTCCAAGCAGCGACATCAGGATCAGAGCCTGGATTGTCTTCTTCGCTCCGATAGTAACGGTGATACGGTCTGAGATACTCATCACCGATCTAGATTACTTGTCAGATATTACCACATAGATGAGTTGCAACCATCTTACCCCTTCAAAGTAATCGATTAAGCCCTGCTTCATGCCCTGCTCCCAAGTCGCCGGGTCGTATGTCCTGATCAGGTGTTCCATATCGGTACCAACACCCGGGTCCTCATCCATGCAATTTGTGAAGTGAGGACTATAGTCAGACAGAACACTGACATGGGCTCCTTCCTGCTCAAACACCTTAACAATGGGTTGCAGGAGACCAAGAATTTCTGGCCACATGTTGAGGCGAATGCAATCGTGGTAGATTTTCATTTCGAGCTTGAACCCTCTCTTCTTCTTAATGCGAAGAAGCAGGTTGAACGCCTCTTGACGCGAGGTAGCGTCTTTGAAGTCGGAGTGCTCGTGGCCTAGCACGAGAGAGGTGTCAGAGATTTCGATGGTCAATTTTCGGAGCGCAGTGGCAGGATCCAAGCCCACCCCGAATGTATCTTTGCATATAGCTCTCGTTAGCTGTCCACCGATGTTGTGGCTGCCGAGTACGAGCCAGGTGCAGTGGCCGGAATTCATGGCTCCGTAGTTCTCATACCACATTTGGACGTTCTCTTTTGCAGCTTCGACTCCCACATAGTCTGGTAGGACGACATGTGACATGCGCAGAATACGATTGGCCCCCGGACAGTGGTATTGCGTGGATTCTTCCTTTGCCTTCCAGGCTACCTCAAAGCCTTCAAAGCCTTTCAAGTAGTCTTCATCCCAGAATTCGGCATTGATCATATCTCGGACCTCCCGCGGTAGCCGGTCGTGCATTCTGGCAAAGTATAACTTGTTCCAGGCTTTCGAATGTGGTTCGTACGACGCTTCAAGTTCGTTGTTCAGACTGTATCCGTAAGCAATTACTCACCATGAAGCTGCATCTTCTTGGAACCATGCGAACTCACGCTCTCCACTCGTTCCAATCATCGTGACTCCAAGAGTAGCTACTTGCCATCCATAGTTCACTTGAGTCTACCATTAGCTACCTTCAATTTTTTGACAGCATCTAGTATGAACGTGCTTACTCGTTCTGACGACGTTTGATCCTGTGCAAATTAGTCAAAACGGGCAGCGACTTAGTACGACAACCACCTACTGAAAGACTCGGTCCTGTACGCGTCGCAGTTCTTGATGGAGCTCACGAAGATTCGCCATGTTTGATGTTGAGGGTAAAAAGAAGTGGGATGTTGTTCGAGGTTACAGGTTTTCCTTCCACGTATTCTTTGTTTGGTTCAGGCTTTGTGGAAGCGAGTCGATAACCACGTTCATGAAGGACTCGGAACCAACCGGAGCGCTACCGCGTGGAGCGGAACCAACAACACAGACGACGCCTGAAACCTGCCACTAAATGAGGGCGAGGACGAAGATCGTTTGAAGAATGTCGCGCCGCGTCATGTTCAGGTGCGCCACAGCGCATCCGCCATCTTCGCTACCTGCGCCATCTCCTTGACATCATGCACCCTCACAATCTGCGCACCACCCTTGATAGCCGCTGCCACCCCAACAGCAGTCCCCCAGACCCTATCTTTCGCTTCCGTGACCCCCGTAATATCGCCAATAAACTTCTTCCGACTCGTGCCCACAAGCCAAGGAATGCCTTCCAGACCCGGATACCTCATCAACTCATCCTGTCGGCGAAGTAGTTCAAGATTATGTTCCTTTGTCTTCGCGAAGCCAATACCAGGATCGAGAACGATACGCCAGCGCCTGACACCCGATCTTTCCGCAGCAATGACGCGCTCGACGAGTTCGCGGCCTACGGTCTCTACGATGCCGTCGGGGTAGGATGTCATTTCAGGACTGGTCATCGTTTCCGGGGTGCCGCGCATGTGCATGAGACAGACTGTACAGCCAAGTTTTCCCATGGTGGAAAGCATCGTGTCGTCCATGGCACCTGCACTGACGTCGTTGATCATGTTTGCGCCGGCGTTAATGGCGGCTTCGGCGACGCTGCCGCGGTATGTGTCAACGCTGATTGCGATGTTGTTTGCCTCTGGCATTGAGCGGATCAGCTTTACAGCTGGGAGGACACGTTCTAGCTCTTCTTCCGCGGAGACCTGGAAGGCGCCGGGTCGTGTTGACTGTCCGCCTACGTCGATGATTGTGGCTCCGGCCAAGATGTGTTCGCGAATGGTGTTCGCTAGGGTTGCTTCATCGATATTGTAGTTTTGGCCGCCATCGGAGAATGAGTCCGGTGTGACATTCAGGATAGACATGATCCTCGTGTCATTCGCTATCCGAGAAGACGATATCGGGGATAGATCTGGTCCAAGTGGCGTCAGCGGCACCAGCGGCACCTCTGATTTAGAGAGTCTTTTGAAATGACGTTTAATTTGATTAGAGAATGGGTAATCTTCACGCTGATTGCGCAGAAGTCTAGAGAGGATCAGCACCGTCTCACTAGACAGACAGATGATTTTCTTACTCAACAAGAGGGCGTAGAACGAACTGCCTCTCGAACATCAACGCATGCGGGATCGTAAGTCTTTCGCTGGAGCTATTCTCGTCTCCATGAAGTAAAATGTCCAAATCAATATTTCTGGGTCCTTTGTCGATGACTTTGACGCGGCCCATGTCATTCTCAACTTTCTGAAGCGCGTCTAAAAGTTCGATTGGTGACAGACTAGTTTCTATCTGTTTGCGTAAATTTGACGTTAGGAAGAAGGGTCATTGTATAGCATACCTGACAGGCACCATTGACGAAGTTGTCCTGATCGAGTACGTACATGGCCTTGCTCTCCCACAAACTACTGGTTCGTACGATCTTTATTTTTCCACCTGACTCCATCTCTCTGCATGCACGTTCAATCATGGCCACTCTGTCGCCCATGTTGCTCCCCAAAGCAACGACGGCAAGTTCCTTCTTACGGTAGGCTGGTTTACCAGAAAAAATCTTTCGCACATCTTGCGATGGAGGCTCGCGCGGAACGCGAGAGTCGGAGGGTGTATCACATTCCTGGCGTTGAGTGGGTGACGAGTGAAAATTCGATCGATTAGAGACCTTGCTGTGGATGGCGTCAACTGAGAGGGCTACACGACGTGGACACCGTGATGGGGCGGCCCTGAGCGTGGCTAAACATCTGGATGCATTAGTGAACATGTTAGCATGTGACGCGGTGGGACAGACAGAGGCAGGCGCGCGATGCCGACAGCCTTCCCCGGATGGCACTAGAGGATAAGTGGTTAGCGCTCTCCGCGTGAGACATGCGACGTGCCTCGGCTTACGGCTTACAGAGAGTCGACCAGGACTCCTCAACCATAAGAAAGGGCCCGACTCCTCAAACCTTAAGAATTCGCCCGAATCCTCGATCCACTCGTCTTCCTTTCTCGCTGTTGAAACACCTCGCATCTTCTCTTTCTCAACCGCAAACCTCCACACCGTCATCATGGCTTCTCCACGTACGCATCCACCCTTCTTTCACATGTGCCCAGCTGACAAACCTCAGAGCAAATCCGCACCAAACTCACCGACCTGCTGAAGATCCAGCACCCCGTCATGCTTGCGGGCATGAACGTGGCTGCTGGACCTAAGCTCGCCGCCGCCGTCACCAACGCTGGAGGTCTTGGTGTCATCGGAGGTGTCGGATACACACCCGACATGCTCCGCGAGCAGATCGCCGAGTTGAAGGGATACCTGAACGACAAGAACGCGCCATTCGGCATCGACCTGCTCCTTCCTCAGGTAGGAGGCAGCGCGCGCAAAACCAAGTACGTACTGGGCGATCCATCACATGCAAGGCACGGGACTAACGGCATACAGCTACGACTACACCAAGGGCAAGCTGAACGAGCTCGTCGACATCATCATCGACTCCGGCGCTAAACTATTCGTCTCCGCTGTCGGTGTCCCACCCAAGGCCGTCGTCGAGAAGCTACACAAGCACGGAATCCTGTACATGAACATGATCGGACACCCCAAGCACATCAAGAAGTGCCTCGACATCGGCGTCGACATCATCTGCGCACAAGGAGGTGAGGGCGGAGGACACACTGGCGACGTTCCCACATCCATCTTCATCCCAGCAGCGGTCAAGATGGTCGAGGGCCACAAGTCGCCTTTGACCGGCGAGCAGGTACAAATCGTAGCTGCTGGCGGTATCTACAACGGCCAGTCGCTCGCTGCCATGCTTACATTCGGTGCCACCGGTGTCTGGGTTGGAACACGCTTCGTCCTCTCGGAGGAAGCCGGTGCGCCCAAGGCCCACCAAGAAGCTGTCCGCACAGCTGGCTGGGACGACAACATCCGCACCATCATCTTCACCGGACGCCCACTCCGCATCCGCACCAACCCATACGTCCAGAACTGGGAGGAGAACAGGCAACAAGAGATCAAGGATCTTACTGCCAAGGGCATATTGCCTGTCGAGCATGATCTCGAGAAGATGGGCGACGACCTCGACGACGAGACTATGGACAACGCGCGGCCGTTCCTGATGGGCAAGGTCGCTGCTGTTGTTAACGAGAGGAAGAACGCGAGGGAGATTGTTGATGAGCTCGTCACAGATGCTGTCAAATGGTTGAACATTGGCAACTCTATGATCGTGTCCAAGTCGAAGCTATGAGGAACCATTTTACGTAGTTAATTTTGATGCATCTTTCTCTGTTCTCATTCAACGCCCATGATCTTTCCCTATCTGCAGAGTACATGGTTCAGATTGATTACGTCTGCAAGATAATGCGCCTCGGTATAACCAAACTGGCAAGCGAGCTAGCGCTGACTCTGATGTCGCCGCATATGCCCCGATGCCGCCGCGGTCCGAAGCATAGACACCTCACGCGAGGTTTCCTTATCATCACAACCATACAACCAACGACATGACGACAAAACGACAAGGTTTCCTCCAACGACGCGAGGCTGGCCTCCAGATAGAACTTGCCGCTACAGAGAGGCGTTCATCCGAGCAAGTCATGCGTTACGAGATGATAGAAGGCTATCTTTCTGCGCTCAGCGAGCTGAAGATCGAGGAGATGACGAATGACGATATGAAGAAGTATAGAGCTCTGATGATGAGAGAGGAGGGGAGGAAGGGTAACAATAAAGGGATATCTCCGTTCATCCCTGGACAGTGAGTTGTCTCATTGCTCAAATGATGGAAACTTGAAGCCTGACCCTTCGACAGAGATGCTGTCTTGTCATACGCCAAGAGGATAATGGGACTGCATAAAAAGAAAGCAATGCGTACCCAGGGCTTAATTAAAGGAGGGTAGGCGATCTCAGCAATCTATCTAACTGTTATTAACGTACTAATCGGGCGGCTGCAGTCCATACGACCAAGCCGCTCAGTCCTATGCGCAGATATCATGTCTATACCTCGCTACAAAGATGCAAGCCCACTTACCACGCGAAGTGCGTGATTTAATATACGCCTACGTCTGGGACGACGAGTACCTCGATCTAGCAACCGGCTACATGGTTCCCGATGCAGAGAAGAGTTATTTCATCTGGACAAAACCTCATCTAACATGGCGTCGTGACAAGCCGCCCCATGTCATCAATCCCGCATACGTTGACCCGGCTACGGCAGTAGAAGCCCTGGCAGCGTACTACCCGGCCTCCGCCCACCGCAAGACCGCCTTCGTGATTAGATGCACGCAAAGCTTGCAGCTGGACACGCTGGACGCGCTACTCAACGACGATGTATTCAAACTCGATTTACGACCTGCAGACCATCTTCGGGCCCTGGATCTACATCTTACACAAGAGCAACGCATAAGATATAAACCAGCGACTATCGATCCAGATGGATTGAGTAAGCAATTCACGCACATTCTTGACGCTATATCCCACAAGAAAGATTTCAAACTGCGTATCACGTTCATGCAGTTCGAGATCCGCCTCAAGCAATGGGAACAGCTTTTCCCCGTTCTCGTCCCTATTTACCATGCTTTTCGGGCTGAAGGGGCGGATGTCAGTGTATCCTTCAGCATCACCACACACTATTATTAAGCGCCGGTCCGGTGCGATTATGATCTTGAAGAGATTGTCAAGGTGTGGAATCCAGAGTTGGAGTGGAGAGGGAAGATGTTGGAGTTTTTCGAGGGAGCAACCTACCACGTATTTCCGGCTTTCGCTAGGCAGTATCGGTATGAAGATGGAGAGGAAGAGGAAGATGAGTGGACATCAGATGATTCGGATGAAGATGAGTTGGATGAAGATGCGTTTTATTCGGATGAGTTGGTTGAAGATGAGTTTAGTTTTAGAATTTGAGGCGGATTAAGTGTGACGGCTATGTAACTAATGAGAAGCCCCCAACTAATCCTGCTGAAAAGCTCCCAAACTCTCATCATTCCAGCTCAAAAACTGCCCGTTAAACCCCTCTACATCCGCCCTCTTCGCCACAGCCAACCTCGCCATAACATACCCCGGCTGCTCCGGCTTCAACAGTCCACCTTCTTTCTTCAATCCACTGAACTTGGTCCTGTCTTTCTCGCTCATACGCTCGTGGTGCACTTCGCGGATCTCACGCTGCATCTCCGTGTCTACAACACCGGGGCGGATCGAGATAGTGGTAATAGAGGGCTCTTCTACGGAGAGCGTAAGAGCGAGATGGTTCAAGACAGCTTTTCCCGCGCCGTAGCAGCCCCATCCTTGGTAGGCGGAGGTTGCGGCGCCGGATGAGGTTAGGAGGATTGTGCCGGAAGTCTTGCGGAGGGACGGAAGGGCCGCTTGGACCTGTAGATGGTTAGCAAGATTAAGTGGTTCCATGGCTGGTTGGTCTCGAGCTTGGGGGATTGAGAAAATACAGAAATAGCAAGAGAGAAAACAACATGATTGAGACAAGCGCCAGAAACGAACGATCTCAACTTACCATACCAACCGCACTAAAAACATTAACATCAAACCCCTTCCTCCACTCCTCCGCACTACTATCCGCCACCTTCTTCACCGGATCCAACGTGCCATGGTTCACAATTAATGAATCAATGCGTCCCCACCGCTCGTTCGCCAGGTCGACCGCTTTCTGCGGGAGTGCAGCATCGGCCATGTCACCGGCAAGTACAGCTACTCTCTCGTTTCCATATTGGGATTGAAGGGCAGACAGAGCCGATTCAGTACGCGAGACGAGGACGACTTTGTGGTTGCGGGAGAGGAGGTGGTGGGCGATTGCTTGGCCGATGCCTGTGAGAGTGGGTTAGTAGGGGAATTGGCGGTATGAGAGTCTGCGTTGTTGTTGACTACGCTTGCACGTGTAGCTTTTTTTACACGTCTGGGAGGTTTGCAGACCACGGAAGTGTAATGCATATTTTGACTAGAATAGAAAGCGAGGTGATGGACAATTTAGTGAATAGATACATACCTCGAGAAGCTCCGGTAAGAATAACGACCATTTCTTTGAATTCACTCATCTTGACTTGTTGTTTCGGTGGGTTAAGTTCATATGTCGGGACGGATCGGAAAGGTTATGCTCGTGTTGGAGGGGTACGTCATATTAGTCAGCTTCTTGCCAGATACTGCCCGTCTGCCGTGTCAGAAATTCGTGGTCGTAACATTCGCAGGATGGAAGTCAACAATATTCACCTAAAGGTGCGTTGAACTTGTTCACGTTAAGTCGAGGTACAGTATTTTACGATTCTGCAGAATCCGTCCGACTCGTCCACGAGTCCAATTAAACGGCATCTTTCTAGATTATTAGCGCTGCCAGCAACTACAACACTGCGACAACTACATTACTCCAACAGCTGCAAAAGTGCGACAGCTTACAATACTGCGACAGCTACAATACTGCGACAACTACAGTACTGCGATAGCTTACAGTACCGCGACAACTACACTATTGTGACAACATAACCAACACTCTAGCAAACAAGACCCAAGCTACTACAATCATATTAATTCTTGCTAATCGATACTACCTCTACGATACAACACGCCCACCGCGCTTTATACAAGACCCAAGCTCAGCCTCTTAGTATGCTGTCAAACCGACATCGCAGTGCCTTCCGGGCAGCTCGCAGAACCACCTGACCCGCTTCCCTTGGAATCCACGGTGGAAGTGCTGCCGCTGACCATACCTCATGCTTGCCCGGGTATACCAGAGCTGGATTTACATTCTCAATGAAGTATTCGACTAGCGCATGGCAAGCAGGACAGCACTTCTGCGATACTGGTAGGGCGCTCATCTTACCCTTTAGTGCATCCGTAGTTGTTTTACTAGGGAGCTGCAGGTGAGCCTTGCTTAGTGGTGCGGACGCGGACTTGATATCGACGTCTAGGACATCAGCCCGCTTCTTGGCTAGTAAGGCCAGACTCAGTAGGACTGTTTCGCAGTGGTAGGTACCGGTGAAGTTTGTAGCTTCTGCTTGTTCGTTTTCAAACTTCGCGGAGTAGCCATCGCCATTTCTTAGCAGCCATGTTCTGATATTTTGGCATTCGTCCGTTGTGAGCTTCTCTCCAGATGGCAATGTGAAGTTCTCCAGATAACCCTTTATGATCAATCTCCTGTCCTGGTGCTCTTGCCGGGTTTCAAAGTGTTGGAATTTTGCTTGCTGCCAGTAAGTTCTGAGAACTTTGTTGCGGGGTGCCTGGCGGCCTTCACTCCGGAGATCCAGAATCGCTGTCCAGTGTAAACATATCAGATCCAGCCATGCCATTGCTGCGTGCTCCCACTGCTGTCACTCGGCAAGAGAGTCGAGCTGCTCGAACTCGGGGTCGATCCTTTGTTGCTTTTCAAGTGAGGTCGAGGATCCAGGGAGGCCTTCGGTATCTTGAGCAATGTCGCTGGTCTTCATTGCATTCTTTATCATGTGAACCTTTCTCAAAAGCCCTAGGTTTGTATACAAGTACTTGCGGAGCGCCTTCTTGAACTGTGTCAAAACATCAAGCCAGAGACCTGCTTGTTTCGAAAGATGATCGAAATAGTGACCTGCGAGTGCAATTTCGTCGCTTGCGGGACTTCCTGGAAGTGCGTCGTAATTGCTGCTCTTGTACAATTGTGCGTTTCGTAGTGCAGCTGCGAGCCACTCGAAGCAGGCAACTAGATTGTCGAGCACAGCACTAAGAATGTCCTGCAAAAGACTAGCAGTATGTTGGTTGTAGACAGTCGATTCGCCGGTGTTCAGGAGGTCCTTGAACTGGGTGAGTGGTTTGATGATTTTTCGGGTATTTTCCAGTGCCTCTTGAGTACGGCAGGGCAGTCTGTCTGCATTGGCTGATGACCGACGTTCCAGAAACCCGATCGTTGCAACGATCACTTTCCGCTGGATTTCGGTAAAGTTTGAGTCGAGAACATCGCGGGCGTCACCCAGAAGCAATGACCTGAAGTGGTAACCTTCCTGCAGCATGAAGTTATCAAGGTCACCGCCAGGCTTGCTTAGATAGTCGTAAAAGTTGCGGTCTTTGCTGCCTTTCTGGATGCGCGAAGCTATCTTGGCGTTCGAGGTCAAGAGCACGTAGTTACGTAACTGGTCTCTGGCCAATACAGTTGTACCCTTTGATGTTTGTTCGTAGGTTGCCTTGATTAAGTGCACGAGATTGGCTGCATGCTGAGAGAAACTGACAGTTGTCCGGGGATGCGTCACTCCTTCCAGATGTCTCTCTGTCTTGGAAAGCAACCAACAGCCGATTGAGTCTCCCATATCATCGGCAGTAGTCAATGGAATATGGACTTGTAGGGCAGGGTGATGCTCTTGCTCGTTCAACGTCTTGCTTCGCTGTTCATTGCAGAGGCTCTGCACATACCCAATAGCTGCTGCAGGACCTGGCTCGCTCTCTTCTTCCGCTTCAGAGGCAGTATCATCTTCTGTGAGCAATACGCCGCTGTCATCGCACACTGTTTGGAACAGAATCTCTCCTGCGTCTGATGCTGTCACGGCGACAACTTCCACATCACGGACCAACAAGTTGGTAAGCTTCTCTGCGAACGGGTATAGCTTGTTGTTTGAATGCCCGGAATCGGTAGTATTCGTACTGACCGTGGCCTTCTTCTCAAGAGGATTCGTCCAGGCCAGTACAGTTGTGAGGAAACTGAACTCGTGGAGTTCCTCCTTGGTGAGGAACTTGTCCTTGAGCCCGTAATGGAATTCGCTCATCGTGACTCGTACTGCTGCAGTTGGGAGCTTACCGCAGCTAGAGTAGTTAGGGGGTGGTGTGCTGAAATAGTTCGGCGTCAATTCCAGTTCAAGTGTGCGAGTGGAAGTTCAGCTCAGCCGCGATTTGGTAAATGTCCGTGGTCTTGGATCGTGAATACAGAAGTCTTGGAGGAAAAAGATGTTCCCTAGTACTGTCTTCACAGTAGAGTCATACTTGGCTACCATGGTTGAGTACCTAGGTATGGATTCGACCATCCCCACGAACCCCGGCAAACCACTGTTTAAGCGAACCGTTCCATGGTACTGGTGATGAGTGTTAATCGTTTGTCATTCCAAAGTCATTATCATAGGAAAGCCATGTCCATCTATCTACAAATACTTCATAATCATAACTCCGTCGTCACAATCCCTAAAACCCGCGCCCCCACACCTTAATACCCATAAGCCTTGCTCGTAGCTCTCGGCCGACCAGCCAACGTAGCGATATCATCCGGGTTAACAGGCGCCTGAGGCCTGCCACTCAGCGTATCAACCGTCTCCTTGAGCGCCATCCAGAACTCATGCTTGGGGCGGCGGCGGTGCCACTCCGTCTCCCTCTTCTCCACTTGCTCCATGGGGGAGAAGAGAAGCTTGCTGCCCTTGATACCGATGACGCTGATGGACATGGAGTCGTCTTCGATCTCGTCGGGGTCCATGCCGGCGTAGTTTTCGAGATGTTGCATGGCTTTGATGGCGAATCTGACGGCGCGGACACGGTCCATGGGGGAGGGGATGGTGCCTTGTTGGAAGTGGCCGGGTACTCCGTGACGGGACTCGAATTTGCCTTGGCCGGCTTCTGCGATCATTTGGGCGATGATTTGCACGTTGTATGTCTTGGATGCCTTCTCGTTGACTAGGATTACCTTACCAGACCTGCTGATACCCTTGTCCTTCTTGAAGACCTCGCGGAGGTGGTCAATGTCGCGGTCGAGCATCTTGAGGCTGATGCCTTCTTCGGGAGTGTATACGCCCATAGCTCCGATACTGAGACCGGCGACTGTTGCGATGTAGCCTGATTCACCACCTTGAGTCTCGATGACGAAGACACGGCGACGAGATGCTGATGCCGATTGACGGCAGGCATCGGAGTATTGAATGAGGGCGTTCAGGCAGGTATCTGAACCGATGGAGTACTCTGTTCCGGGGACGTTGTTTGAGATAGTGGCGGGGATGATGACCTAAAGTTTAGTTAGCATGCTGCTTATCGCGTGGCTGAAACTACATTATCGGGATATGCACTCACCATAGGAATCTTGAAAGACTTGTAGTACTCGCGTGCTTTCCTCAGCTCTGAAACAGCTGTGAAAGCCTCGAAACCACCAACAACGAACAGTGACTGGATGTTGAACTTCTTGAAGACGAACGCAACAGTCTCGAGATCCTCACTAGGGAGCCCACGGTTCGTTCCGATCTCAGATCCACCCTTAGAGGCCCAGGTCTCAGCATCAATCCACTTGATGTCTCGCACCGCACCAACTGGCTCATCGGAGTGGTGGCGGATTATGCCAGGGAAACCGTTGTGGAGCGCGACTGGTGTGTGGCCACGGGCGATGCAGTGTGCAACCGCAGCACGGGTCGCTGCGTTCATGCCTCCAGCTGGGGCACCTACGTGGATGATACCGACGCGCATGCGCTTGTTTTCTGGTAATAGTAGGTCTGGCTGGTCTTGTGCTGTAGTGATTTGGTAGGCCTGGTATTGCTGCTCGAACTCGGTGTCACGGAGCTGCATAGCCCTTGAGAAGTTCTTGTTCTCGATGGCTACAGCAACTTCCTTGGTTTGTGCAACAGCCTCGAGGAGCGGCCGTCGGACGATCTTGTTCTCTTGCATACAGATGACCGGGCTGGGTGTGTCGGGGGTAGCCTCCAACACCGCCTTGACAGCTTCAACACCTTGGAGTGTCGCAAGCATACGGTCGTAGGCGCAGGGTGTACCTCCACGCTGGACGTGTCCGAGAGTTGTCACTCGTGTGTCGAGCTTTGCCTCCTTCGCCAGAATGTCCTTGACCTGTTCTGAAGTGATCTTGTTCAAGTTGCGATCGATGGCACCCTCGGCGACCACGACAATCGTCTTCCGCTTGCCCATCTGTCTCTGCTTCTTGATCTGTTTGCACATCTGTTCCTGCCAGCCTTCGCTTGGTGGGTTCTCTGGTGTGAAGACGAAGTCGGCGCCTGTTGCGACACCGGCGCTGAGTGCAAGCCAACCGCAGTGTCGACCCATAACCTCGATAACGAAAGCACGCTGGTGACTGACGGCGGTGGTGTCGACTGAGTCGATGGCTTCGCAGATACGTCCGAGCGAGGTGTAGCAGCCAATGGTAGCGTCGGTCATGGAAAGGTCGTTGTCGATGGAGCCGACGAGACCGACAATGTTCAGGTGCTTGAAGGGCTCAACCTGCTCCTGTGTGAGCTGCTTCTCATCCACCAGCTCCTTCAGCAGCTCCGGCCACTCCGCGCGGAACTTGTCAGCACCTGTGAGGGATCCGTCACCACCGCAGATGATTAGCGCGTCGATACCCTTGATGATCATGTTCTTCGCGGCCGTCCGGCGGCCTTCGCGCTGCATGAACTCCATGCATCGTGCTGTGCCAATGAGGGTACCACCTTCTGACAGGAAACCTCTCACGTCTTCCCAGTGCATCTCCTTGATCATGTCTCCGCCCTTGACCAGACCGTCGTAGCCCTCGTATATAGCGAAGGCCTCGCAGTTGTTGTGAATCGCCATACGCACGACAGCGCGTACCGCTCCGTTCATGCCGGGCGCGTCACCTCCGCTCGTCATGACTCCAATGCGCCTCTTCTTGCCATCGAGGGGCGGCGGGATCTCGGTGGGCGCCATGTTGTGAGTCTGGGTGTTGTTGATTGGGGTATTAGGCGGGGTGAGAGGTGTAGATTGAAGTTGAGGTAGTAAGTGGAGGCTGGAGGTAGTCGCAGCTGGATGCGAAGGTCCGAAGAGATATTTGGCCGTGGGTCAGTATGAGGTCAATGTGGATTCACCTGTCTAGTTGGAAAAGTTAAGACGCCGAGAAGAAGCGGGTCCCTACGTGTTGGGAAGATTCAGGTCTCAACGGTGGTTGGAGGGGTAGCTTTGCCGAGTCCTGGGTGGTTGTGAGTAGCAGAGGTAATACGATTAGTTGGTGATTAGATGACCTCTACGTGGTGTTTATGTATCATAGGCAACAGTTGTAGGTATTACTCAAACTGGCGATAAGGTGATGGGAGTCGGAGCATGGGTCGCGGCGTCGCGCGCATATGACGTGGGAGCTCCAAAAGAAAAGAGCTCCCCGGTCCGTCAAGTGGGGTCACACCACTCCGCCGATCAGCCCGAGCCTCGAAGGATCGTCTGGCGAACTCCAACACCGGCCACCGGCACGTTCCTGGCATCGGACAACCTTTTCGTTGCTTGAATTGGTGTCGGTTGCATGCCAACAATGGCCAAGATGGCGAGACATTGCCTGCGCCACGGTCACCGTACGACTACTGTGACATGTTCTTCTTAGCCATCACCCCACGCGGCCTCTTCCGGCGAAGGCGTCCCAGCATCACGATCACAGGGAGGTACGATTGGCCGCGAATTACAATGATTTATTGGTATCACTCTATGTCAAGCCAAACGGGCCCAATCGCTGCGCAGATGCTCAATCACCTTTTCCTCACGAACCCAAGCGTTTCCAAGCGCATGCTATGACTGCATTACCAAATCCAAAGACTCCAACCTGCAAACATCTATTGTTACCACCTCAGCTCTAGAAAGCACCAACCTCCTGACCCTCCCTTGCTAGCGTCTCAAACACCCTTGGTGGCAGCTTGTACTTGATCAAACCAGCAAAGACCATGAGGTCCTTTGCCTTTTGTAGAAGCTGATCAGCGAGAACCTTGCGCATCTTGTCCTCGAACTGTCCGGATAGAAGACGTTCACGATGTCTCGAGCAGCAGCCGATGCACCAGAGAAGTACATTGCCAATGTTGCGCGAGATTTCTTGTGGGTAGGAGTTGAAGCTGTTGGCGGTGGCACGGATGTCGCTGACATTTCCGTTGGCTGACAGAGGAAGAATGCGGAGGTTCTCGATTTGCTGCGGGATGTTAGTGACTGGTCATGAGTAAAGAAGTAAGAACTTACGCCGAGTGCCGCCATGAAGTCGCCGGCTTCGATGATCTTCTTCGCGTTGTTGAGCTGGAATAGTATTCCAACTGTGTCACGGTTCATCTGCGACACCTTCCTCCACCACAGGCTGTTCGCGTCATACAACGCAAGGACCTTCTGCGCGAGCTCGACGGGATCGTCTGTTCCCAGCATGCTCAAGCTCGACGAAGTCAGATCAGTTCGTTGTTGTTGTTGTTGCTGCTGTTGTGACTCCGCAGCTGTCAGACGCGGCTTCAACGGCTCCAGACGGAGAGGCTCTTGACCGAGTTCTACAGAGAGTGCCTCAGCCAGCGCGCGGTTCAGGATCGTTACGACACTGTCGTACTCGCCAGCAAGATGGCAGAGTAGAATGGCGTCGTTGATGCGTCCGTTGTCGTCTGCCATTCTCGCGGCTTCGCTGGTGATGGTGTTCAACAAACCCATCTCGCCATCCAGCTTGAGCAACGGCACGCGTTCCTGGATAAGACCCGGTCTCGTCTCCCCGTTGGATTTGACGTCGCCCAACAAGGTAGAGAACTCGCGCGTCTCGAGAACAAGTTCGCGAAGAGCTTCATGGCAGAGCTCTGCCTGTTGTCGGCCTGCTTCACCTGGTAGATCTGCATTCATGCAGATCAGCACCAAGTAGTCGGCCGCAGCATCAGCTCGTGCAGCACGGAAGTCGCTTGTGTAGTGGCCGACGATGCGTCCAAAGTTGAGCTGTGGTTGTTGTCGCGTAGTGAAGGTCATGATCTCTCCACCTGCAGTCGTCCAATCCGACACACGGATGAGGCCGTAGTAGTCTAGAGCGACTGCAAAATGAACCGCCGAGACGTAGTTGTGG